TAGTAAAGATATTTAAATACGTAACTCTTGAAAAATGAAAATAATATTATCAAGTCACTTTTAAAATTAGTACTTTTTGCGGTTACTAGATTTTTTATTTATAAGATAAATTTCGGAAATATTTATGAAATCTAAAAACTTTTCTATGTAAAAATTTATTAAAAATGAATGATTTGATGATATTTATTTTATGAAAATTTTTATTATAATAAAAAATTAATATATTGAATTGATAATTCAATTTGTCCTAGTTCTAAAATTATCTCTTTTTTCTCTCCATCTAATATTATTTTTAATAAAATTATTTCAACTCTCGTTGCATATGCGCTATACATTCATTTTAAATACGTTCATTTTGAAACTTTTATAATTATCACAGAAAGAACGACTTTGTTGAAGTATCTAAAAATTTAGCTAAATATGAATCTGTGAAAATAGTTTTGTTAGACTATTAAAATTATTATGTAGATACTTGAATGAGGAATTTTATAAAAAGTATTGACATTCTAGCAACCAATTCAAGCATTCTATTATTCATATAATTATTTTTATGATCTAACAACATTTGTTTTCAGATTCGTATTTATAGTTTATTTGGATAGTTTAGCAAAAGTTCTTTCTGAGCTTATGTACATATTTTCTTCTATGATTACGAAGGAGAGATTTGCCGTTGTCGTAAATCAAGAATTTAGCGCGGTGTTGCACGAAACTTTTCAATTATTTCCCTCGCTCGGCCGTGATCTGTTTCCATCATTGGATCACGTACGCACCGGTAAATTATTTCACTCGGCAGGAAGATTATTGATTTTTTTACATCATCAAGAATGAAAGTATCAATCGTGGAAAAGCAAAAGTGCATGCTCTTTGATGGACGAAACGAGTGACAGAGGAGAGAAAGGTGAAATACCGGAACATGAAACGAGTACGCGATACAAATTTATGTGGGAGAACGGGGTGCGATATCCATTGTTCGATACGCGCTCTCGTTAAAAACAGAGAAGTTATCTGTTCTCTCACAGGGTGAACTGCTGCGCAATTAATCCCGAGGTGGAGCGCAAGTAAATCGCGGTTGGCTTTTTTTATGCGTGCTTTGTAATTTACCGCGTAAAGAGATACTGCGAAAGGAGATACATAAAATAAAGGGGGAAAGGGTGTTTTTACTAAGAAATTAAATTGCGCCCGCACTTCGCGCGGAGGTGCGCCGAATCGTGGTTCATGAAATCTCTCCTCTTTCGTTCTTCTTCTTTTTTTTTTTTTCCGTGGACGTGCGCGCGACCAGTAAATGCAATAAACTGGCTGGCGGGAAGAGAAGTCACGTATTTATTTGTATACCGCATGACGAATGCGGCTAATCTAACTGCGAAGCTCGGCCGGGTTTTTCGCGGGTGAAATTCTCGGGAAATCACTTTATCGTGCTGCGTTTTTCCGATGGAGGGAATCGTAGAAACGTCACGACCTATCTTTCAATTATACGAGCGAACGCGCGCGTGTAATCGGACAGAAACGGAATTTCAATAGTAATTCTAATCGCTGATGCAGCGGCGATTCCGATTTTCTCGTGTAATTTAGTAATAAACAGCCTTGCAGATGGACGCTTTCGAAATTACGTATCCGCCAGTTTTGGACACTGACGTTTTCAGTTAAATATAAGTTCATCAAGGAGATTGGCGTTCAATTTCGCGCGTGTAATTTCCAATAATTCCGTTTTCATCGAAACGGAGTGACTAATGCTGTTTGTGATGTTACCGGTAAATTTACGGCTCACGTGCGCCCGCTCAATTAACTATCTTGGTGCGCGAAACGGAAATGAGAGTCGCGTATTACGTCCGTATGCAAGATTGAACGAGTTAGTCCAAGATGGGGGAGTAAAGTACGCGTGATACCCGAAACTGATACACACGCGTAATTTTGTCTCTTCATGAGGGCTGCGCGAATGTAATAAAGTACGTAAAATTACATAATTTACAGTGGAAATATACATAAAATTAGGCTTTTACAAAAATTAATATATGGAAAGAATTGTTTTGATAAAGTATCTAAAAATTGAAATATAAATCTGAAAATAATTTTGTTTGGATATATCACCAAAATAATATATATAATTTTGTAAAACGCTCAAATTAATTGTTAGAATATCAAAATTTTTTTATAGTACTGTTCATATAATGCTTGAGTTTTCTATATAATTATCAAAATAAAATTATAAAATTATTTTGATAATCTAACAAAATTATTTTCAAATCTGTATCTAATTAAATTTTTGGATATTTTATCAAAACCGTGTACTTGTTTCTGTATATTTTTACCTCTAATCATTTAAGTATGTTTATTTCAAACAAAGATAATTTAAAATACATTGAACCCGCAAAAACCAATTAAGGAAATTTAGAAGCGAATATCTAATTAGCGTTAAGAAAAGCTGTGCATAATTCATTAATTATTACATTAATATAATATTACTGTAAATTTAATTTTGCAAATTGTTTAATTATTACAAAGACGAGTAATTTGATTTGTAACTTTATTTACGTACAGTGAGAGCAAAAAGTATTCATACAAGGAAATTTATTATAAAAAAGCCTTATTTATAGAAAATAAACATTAATTAGCAATTTTATACAATGATAAATGAATACATTCTGTTCTAATATAAACAAATGAGCATGTTTTCCTGATTTTAGAAGCTTTCCTGATTTTAAATTTCTCGTCTGTACGAATACTTTTTGAGCATTCAAACAATACAATTTTTAATTTTCGCTTATTTTTCAGATGATATATTTTATATAATTAATACGCATCATTTTGGTATATATGATTTTAAGAAAACATACAGTCTATTTTATTCTTTATGAATAACTTGTTAATTATCCAACAAAAAATGATCATTAATTAACGTTAAATCGACATCAAATTGGTGTTTAAATCATCGATTTTACATCGATTCAACATCAATTCGATGACTCATTTCTCGTTGGATAATATTTACTTTTTAAAAATAAAGCTTTTTTAAAAAATATTTCTCTATACGAATACTTTTTGTACTCACTGTACATAAATATACCACATTTGACAGGTCTTAAAAATATCCACTACAATTGTAATTTTACGTGAAATATTTTTATAGTGCGTTTGGGACCCCAAGAACGTTGAATTCTCAATTGCGCGTAATGCACGCGCATAAATCTAAAGTTACTTGGCCTGGTTTTGTAGAATTTCGCAGGGCGAAATTGCATTTGCAGTAATCGTTATAAGTTTTTACTTTTGTTAATGGCACTGGACAGGGTTGCGCTATTTGTGCAAATCGTGGGAGAGCGAGAAGCGATCGATAACTGCAACGACTTTCGCGACCGGTGAATTTATTCCGCAGAGCGTAACAATCGTGCGTCATTTGATACGAAAGCGTGGTGTTATCAATTAAACGCAATCGGCCGTACGGTAATTCATTCGTTTCGCAAATATAAATCCGTCTCTCTGAGAGACGCGCGCGCTGCGTGTACTGGAAAAAAAAAAGAGAGGACATCATAGATTATAGTCCCTCCCGTGATAACGTTGGGCCGAATTTTTCCGCGGACTTTTCTGGCAAAAATAAAAATCGGAGCGTAAGTCGAATGTAAGGGAAGAATGACGGAAGCATAAACAAAGGCTTCTAGGTGACGTAAATTGGAACAACGAAAAGAGGCATCTACCTCTTAAAATACTTCTTTTACGTTGCACTGTTCCAATTTACACTTTCCAGCTTCGCGTCTGTCACTCTCCTCTTACATTCAATTTACGCGACAATTTTTATTTTCGCCAGAGTTCTTCTGGCTCTCGGTTTCCTCGAATGTCTCCTAGGAGAGAAGCATGTGGCTCTTAATTTTTAATTAACCGCTCCGCCGTCTCTCGAACGTGCGCAACGCGCATAACTTTGCCGCGCGTTACCGAGCTAATTGAACGGTCCTCCGGGCGCCCTCCTAAGCGCGACCGGAAAGTTTAGACGGAAATTTATTAGCGCATTCCACTTCGGAGTTAAGTAACGCTCTTATTACTTGCAACCTCCTTCATATTATGCTTATACCGATCAGATGCATAATATCTTTAGAGACGCGCGCGCGCGACTTCCCTTTCTGTCTCGTCGCCGTGCCGTGTACTTGTCTGTGCGGATATGGATTTATGGTGAGCGGATTTATAGCACGGTTTTTTTTCCTCTTATAATAAGCTGACGGGCTTTGTTGTAACCAACCGGCTAATGAGACCGACATTGATGAATGAACGCGCGACTTGACTCAGGTCGGATCAAACCGCGAGTATGCTACTGATTATGAAGCTGCGGATTTATTCGAGGCGTTGATCTTTCCGCACTTCAATTTTATATTCTGTGGCTTATGTATCCTGATGTATGCTGCATCGACGTCATATTTCGGCAAATATCTCAATATTTAATGATATAATATAAATTATTATATATATTAAAAAAAAAATTTGTTCAACTAATTAAACACATTTAGTTGTTTGCAGGTTTGGTTAATTTAACAAATTTTATTTAATTGAATTCGACCGTAGTCTGCTTAAGAAACTGTTCAATGTTAAGCAGTGTTTAGTTAGTTGAACAAATTTTTTTTTCAGTGTAGAAGTTCTTGAAGAACGGAAGTAAAGAATCTAAAGAGTTGGAAGAAAAATAATCTTAAATAAAAACGGAGTAATATTTCGAAAACGCTTTTTTATTTTATAAAAATGTTACGTTAAAAAAAATTTATATAAAACCATGTAATATTAATAATATACTTTTCTTTCTGTAAGATGAGATTCGAAATGTATGTTACATCACGAGATTTTTGTAAGATAGTTGTACGAGATATGTGTTAAATAAGAATAGTAAAATATAAAAATCTATTTAAATGCTCGCTAAAATAAATTCTATTTGTTTAAAATATTAAGTACCGAATTGGCGAACGAAATTAAACGTAACTATAAAGAAAAGAGAAGAGCGTTAACTGGTTAAAAGCTTCAACTTGCTTCAGGGTTGGACGAGCAACTCGACCATCGACAGACTATACAAGAGGAACACGGACCCTCCGGCTGTTGTGGACGTGAATAAATTCTACGATGACAGGGCGACGCCAGGTAAATAGCAGAGGTTACCGTATGCTTCTCGCTGCTACTGGAGCTTGAATCTCGTCTCTGTGTCTTTTGTTCCAATAGGTATTGCTTCGGAAACACAATTGCAAGACCCGAGGAATTTCTATAAGGAGGAGGTTCAGGTGTATAAACTTACGGGTGGTGTCGAATTGGTACCTTTGTTAACCAGCAGACGCCATCAGTCGTATCCACAGTCCAGCCGATATCTCGCCACGGATGCCACTCGTCCGGGATACACGATAGAATCGTAAGTAGGGGTAGGCTGGTGGCTGTATTTGAATATTGGTTTGTTTATCTCCAAAATGATCGATTCGTCGCTCTATGAATGCAAAACAATTCGTCGCTTTGCTTCGAGTTTCAAAATAAAACGACAAATTCCAATTATCGATATATTCAATTCTATTTTACATAATTGTTTAAGTGTAATTCTTTTTTACGTAATTATTCAAATATAATTCTTTACATTATATAATTGAAAGTTATATTTGTTTTGTGTTTTTTTCTTATTAATATTGTACTTTCAAGAATTACACTTATAACGTGCTATCCAATGACATTTATCGTGTCACATTAAATTGCAAACATTGAGGGTGACAGATGTTGAGATGATAGGATAATCAATAAACAGCATGTCTGGTATAAATACGTAACTAGCTGTAATCACGTACATTTAGTCATTACCGTAATTGATATTAAAAGTCCTTATTGTTGTCCCGCAATTTACTTGATGAAAATTTTATTGATCACTCATTTAATCGAAAAAGATGCGTTTGATATTTCACCCCTCCTCCCCTTCCCTGATGGAAATAATAAATGCCAGAGCAGATTGTTAGAACTCTCTCTATAATTAAATAAATCTAAATTAAGCAAATTCTATTATTAAATATATCGCTTCTTTATTTCGAAAGTGATACAATTCAAAACGTTAAAGGAGAAAAATTTCTTTTTTTAACTTGGCAAACAATTATTGAAGAATTCAATAATATCGGTAAAAAGCATCTATTTTTAATATCAAATTTTTATCATTTCCGTTGCAACTAAAAAAAACATCCTCTTTGAGTTATGATTTTTAACGATTTTTTTTTTAACTGAAGTTGCGACTTAAGTGAGACTATTTAAGTTGTGACTATTTTAATGATTTTTTTGAAGTTAGTTACTTTTAATGATTGATATGGTAATTGATTTACTTAACTCATTCATGATAAATCACATTTTTCAGGTTGTGTCACTTTCGAAGTAAAGGAACGATATATCGGTTTTAGTTTTTTATTTTATATTTCGAAACATGACAGAAATTTATAACATTCTCCCGAGTATATTTCCTCTGTTTTTTAGTCTCCCCTTTTTTTTTAATTCTCGACATGTTTTCTTTTTTTAAATTTAACAATCTGACGTGAAAATCTGAGACGCCTTCGTGTAAAGCGTAAAATGAAAAACGAGATGAGTAGAACGACGCGCGCTTAATCGTACATTCGCTGCGTAGTAAATGTCAATATCTCGGTCATATAATGTCGTGTTCATTTACAATAAATTTTTCATTCGGTGCCTTATAAGTATGACAAACACGACAAGACACGACGGTAACCGGAGAATTGGTTAGCGGCAATACGGCACTCGAGGGATGTAACTACATTACAGGTAATCAACCAATTGACCCGGATGCACTCGACCTCGACCATTTCACCTGTTCCTGCTTAATCTCACCCTCATTTTCCTCCCAGTGCACTCCAAATATTCATCAGCATAATTTTCCATTGCCATCGTAAAAGAATATTTTTCTACGAAGAATTTACTTCTCGAAGGAAGAATCAATTCTCTTTGGAAATACTCGATTGGAAGATTTACGTATAAGCTTCCTGCATAAATATATCATTATACAGTGACATTTCATGCACACAAATGTAATCTTATTTTAAAATTTTTCGAGAAAAATTCAAAACATGTATTTCTGGTTCCTCGCGGAATTATGTTATGTATATACTGGAAAATCTGAATTTGAGATACGTATGATAAGTCATATTTGAATATTTGACAATCAGTTATTTCCGAATAAAATTTTTCGAAAATTATCGCATGGAAAAAAAGAAAAAAATACTTTTTTATTTTATTTGAATTAGTTGAAAAAATAAATATATATTATCTGAGAATGAACGCAAGTTATGAATAACATAGTTTTATATATATATATATACAACTTTATATACTTTTTCAGTATGGTACAGTATGGTTATAATATTTTAAACTGAATATATAATATACTTCAGTATATTATTAGGTGTTGGAATTAATTCGTAGCGTTTTACAAGTGATGGGAAGTACTTTCATTAATGTATTTTTTAATGCTCATGTGAAATAAATAACATTCTTTCATTAAAAACGCTACGAATTAATTGCAACACCTAATATATATTCAGTTTAAATGTATTATATATTGAAGAGAAAGAAAAAGAAAGGAAGTGGCTAATATGATTGTGAACATGATAGTTCCATCATAAATATAATATATTTAATGTTCAAAGTTCTGTATTCAGTTGATTGAGTAATTAATGTAACTCTTCTCTGGCATTGCATCCGATAGGATAATGCTGATTTATCGTTCGATAAATCTGCGTGTAAACGGTCGTAGCGCCAGACGCGAACAGAAGCAGCACCAACCTGACATGTAACGAGACACTTTGATAACGTTTAATGGAATAGCATATGAGAGAAAGTTGCGTTACCGGAGGTGTGCAATGTTGTTTATAACACAGTGGGCCGACATTCAAACGCTGCGGCACGCCTGTAGTAATTAATCATCCTCGATTATCTGTCACCGTGCGGCGATAACCCGGAGAAAAAAAATGCGGCGGTGTAGCCCGGGGCGTTATTCACTTAAAAAAGGCATTTTATCGTGTTTTTATTTTGTTTATTCTTCTTTTTTTTACGGTAAAATCGCGAGAGCACCTCGGTACTGCGGGCACGAGCATTTAATTTGGCGACACACATTGCACGAGGATCGATATTACATTCGATTGGTTTGCGCGCGTTCTCGAATACCGCTATGCGAGGTATTCGTGCGAGTTATGAGCACAAAGTCGTTAAAGACTATTCAAAGCATCGAGAAAATATCGATGACTGGAACCGGTCAAATGGAAAGCTTTTTTCGCACCAGTTGGCTTAATTTAACGTATGATTCAAAAATAAATCAAAGATAGATCATCTAGGTTGTATTGCCAGCAACATTTATGGTTCATGATGGTGCAAACACAGGTGACGCCGTTTAAAACCACTTTGTTATTTTTAGAAAAGAATGCGCAGAAATAGAAAAGTTCTTCTAAAAAAAGTCAAATATTTTCATGAACAAACTGATTAAAATAGAAAGAGTTCATATGGTATGGATTTTTGAAGTTAACATTTAACAATTGTTAGCTTTTAATTAAAGATACAGCGACCGCTTTTGTATATGTCTATTTGTAGTTGATGTTTTTTTATAGTTTTTTACGCAGATATATATATATATATATATATACACACAAGATCTACAGTTTCAAATACTGTTAAATTCGTAAATTTCAAAAATTATATCCAATTTGAGTTATTTTTAATATCTATATGTCACTACTGTTCCTATCGAATATGTCGTTAATTTGACTAAAATAGTGATAAAACTAAAATAGTGACTAAACTATAATTAATTTAACTCAAGATAATTTAAGAAAATTATTAAACTTGATACAAATTTAATTTATTGCAAGCATGGATTGATTCAATGCTTGCAATAAATTAATAAATTATCACAGCAATGAATTAATTCATATTTTAACATAGATGGAAGTTTAAAATAACAAAGTGTTATTTAACTCAAGAATGGATTACCATTGCTTCATTGATATCTAAAATGAATGACCTATTAGAAAAGTTTTCATAACTAGAAATTCTATTTGGCCATTCTGTGGTTACTTTTTGTTGATTTAGTCAGAATATTTTCTTTTATGTGTATATGTGCGCACACACACACTCACGCACGCACCTATTCTCATTAGATTTGCTAAATGTTACTTTTCTTTTTTGCCATGTTTGCTGCAAAGGTATTTCTTAATCTCAAGAATTCTCTAAAATTGAATATTTTATTTTCACACACATTCCACACATTTACACTCGAATCCTTCCGTCAATCTCATTCGTATTCTATCTTCACGTTCTGGATGCGATGATATTAAATAGTTCGTTCAAGGAAACACACACACACACACACACACACACACACACATCTAATGTGGCTCGTCCTAGATAGTGCTACTCCCCTCAAACCTTTATTTCCCGTAATCTGCGTCTTGGCGCATGTGCTCCCATCATTTCCGCAGGGGTGCCGTATTTATCAAAGAAAGGATATGAAAGCTGAGTATGACAGGCATCTCTCCCTTTCTTTTACAGGCTTCGCGCGCTTGGCGTTGATAATCGAGAGTACATCGCGGATCTCGCTGAGCAAATACGACGTAAGCGGGACAGGGCGTTGGTAAGTGCCGTATGATCGATGAGGATTACGCGACGTTGAATGATAATTTGAATCGGAATTAATTGTACCGATCTCTTGGCAATTTCGTTGCCGTTCTGTTACATTGAATCATATTGATGCGCACTCACATACCGATGATGCGGATGATGAAATCAAGTGGTCTGTAAGAAGACTCGTTGAATGGAAACGGATCGAAAATAAAACTAGATTTAAATCGATTTAAAAATACTTCGCTTTTAATATTCGATCAATTTTATTTTGATTATCCTGTTATTATTTTACATTGTTCATAAATGAAAAAAGATTTTTGTTATTTAAAAACCATTTGATAATGTAATTTGTGAATAATTTCTGTGTGAATACTGCAGTAAAAATTAAATTTGTATTAATACTAAATATTGTTATATTAATTTTATTATATTTTATTATATTTTTTTTACACACATTCCACTAATATTCCATTAATATTAAAAATTAATATACCTTGATTGAGATGATATTTTTTGCAATAAATTCTTTGTAGTGTTTTAAGATAGTATCACAAATTAAATTGAATAATCAGGCTTATTATTCAATTTAATTTGTAATACTATTTTAGCTTCAGTTTACTGATTGTGTTTCAAATTCGATAGCAATCAGTGCGCAATTTATTTAAAGGAAAGCTGTATTTAAGATTTACATAGAAATATTATTAAGTACTAAGATCCAGCCTCGACCATACTTGACGCTACTTACTTATTTATATTATTCACATTGGTGGTCTAATTTAATTTATCATTAAATTAATATAATTTTCGTAGAAACCCAGAAAATAAAGAAAAGTATTTTAATGAAAAATGGCATTTCTAAGACCTGTTATATATCTTTTTTAGCACTTTATCAATTCTGTAGTGTGCACAATACTTAAGACGCTTATTTTATAAACGTATATATTTAAAAGAAGTGTTTTAATAAAAATGGCATTTTTTAAATGCTCTCTCTCTCTCTCTCTCTCTCTCTCTCTCTCTCTCTCTCTCTCCCTCTGTCATATATCTTTTCCAACAATTCATCAATTCTGTTGCACCGTACTTAAAACATTTATATTTGAATCGTATATAAATCCGTCTTTTTTCACTAGTTTACAAAATGAGACTACATATTAGTATAGTATTTTACAACTATTAAGTATGACTAAGGTTTAAGTGTGACTTTACATGGAATATCTTTCTTTCTTTCAGTCTTTCTCTAACGTTACAAATCATTCCGTACTTGGATCTCGTTTCAGGAAGAACGGCGGATCGAACAAGAGAGTTGTCGCAGGCACTTCGATACTTGGAAAAGGCTGTGGGGTAGACCCGGCCACGGTGCCCCCATAGATCACACACAACGGAACAATCTCTACAACATCCTCCATCGACCGGCTATCTATTGAATTTTCCCGTAAAGCGCCTTCGAGCGAGCGTAAAAGCGGAGGTGACTCCGTCTTTCTGCAAAATGCCGCCTTTTATTATACGAAACGAATAAGGAGAAGGCTATTAGATACCAGCGACCAACACGAGATAGGAAGTATCGTTTCCATAGGAGATAGTAGAGCATAATATATAAATAATCTTCCTGGTTCTTCGAGGAGGATGATAGTGAGCGAAGTGCATAATATAATCCCTCAATTAAATGTAGATTAAAATCTCTCTTATGCAGACCGTTTATTTTCAAAGTCAATCAAATTTTGTAACGTACATAAGAAATTTAACTGGATACCGTGTTTGAGATTCGTCGGTTTTAATAAGATTTTAATGAAAATTATTTTCAAAATAAGCCGTCCATACAATAATGCATTTTAGAAATATATTGGAAGAAAACGTATAGTAATTATAGATAGTTTGTATTTAATTGAAAATATTTTCCAACGATAATATTCAATATATAACTGCGCTGGATAATTAAAATCAAATATGATGAAAAAAAAGAAAGAAGTAAAAGATCATACGAGAGGTAGTAAAGGTTAAAAAAAAAAAATATATGTTAGCGTTCTTTGTTTCTTATGAACCGACTTGACATGAAAAAACAAAGAATATATCGGACATCCTATTAAATTTCATGAAAGCCTTGCAAGAGAGTGAAGGGCAGCTTGATAAACCAGGACTATGAGTGCCGCCGCGATTGACCAGACCTCAAAGGAGCAATCTCGTGAGAATCTAGTTGCTGTATGCGGATCGATAGGTTTTAAATTTCATGAACACCAAGGAACGATCATTTGAATATATGTGTGTATAGGTGCACGTGATAACGCTCGGCGTTTACGAAAGAAATGTTTCTCATCATCAGTCATTGTATCGCTAAAATCTGTTTACAATTTGTTTTTCTTATTTTTATTTAAAAGGTACTCATGTAATTTAGATCTTTCGAGTTGTTAGAACGCTTGTAAGATGACAGCATAAAAATTGTTGAACATTATGAAATTAAAGTTTATTAGAAATATCTATTTAAAAAGCATATGTTAGCTATTTATTGAAAATTTAGGCGTGGATATGTAGTGATTAAATAATAAAAGCTTTTTTTTTTTGATCGTTATATGTTTTAAGCTATTAAAGATACATTATTATACAATGTGATATGATATTATATTAGAATGTGACGAAAATGATATTAAGCACAAATTTTATTATGAAGTAGAAAAGTGTAACTTTCTTTTAGCTTTGATTTTAGCTAAAAAATCATTTTATGCTGTGTGAGCCTTTATAATTTTTTAATGCATTGTTCGTAAGTAGTTGTAGTGTAATTAATTAACGCTTATGGAACAGTTTTAAGGCAGTGTAATTTCGGATAAGCAGCGTTACTGTGTTTGCGATGAGATGAATTTTTAATGACACGGCTTGATGGCGTGTAAAAACGTGTTCAAAACAGTTTCAGTAACCGTTCGTGCATCCAATCTATTTGAAAATACGTGAACCTTAAAGATTATATGAATATAAAGATTATATTGATTTTGATAAGCTTCCCGAGATTATGCTTATCCACGCGGCTTCAAAATAAATGACTTAAATACGTAATACAATTAAGACCATCTCGAAAAGAGATTGTGTATTCAGGTTAATAAGATTTTTTTCGAACTCACTCTTGTGTGGTGAAAAAATTCTTATATAATAATATTTTCTTTTATAATAATATTTAAAAAATGTATTATATGTTAAATTCATGTGTGAAAATATATCTTGGATTTCTTCAAATCTTTTATAAGTTTTCTTCAGAAATTATGAAATGAGAAATCTTAAAATATTTTAGAATTCGTGTATTAAAGAATTCTATTTTTACTTTTTAATAATAGAAAAGATATAGGAGCATTCCAATTCGTGTAAATAATATGAGAAGTTTTTTAAAAAGTAATATAATTACAAAGAAATTCTGAAATTTATATAACAATTATATGAAGAATTCTAAGAAAAATTTCTACCAGAACCAGGCCATAAATGTGTTATAATTATTCTTGAAATGAAAATGCGGTTTGCGTTTTTAAAGACAACGATATGTTGGTCGCCGAAAATATCTTCGTAAGAATCGATGGCGAAAATGATCTCTGCGACGTATAAGATTCATCTATTATAAAATTCGTCAGAGTAAATTTGATTCGTTATCGGCAAAAGTGATTAATTCTCTCTTCTACTAGAGAAGATCTGCGGTTTATAACTTACGAATAGCGCTGCGACGATAGGAAGGAAAAGATGGAGGGTTTCGAGTGCAGACTAATCATAAATTATCGATCTGTGCGACGTTTGCTCGCGTACTTGCTCGCTCTTATCAGGCGATTTGCGTAATACGTTAATTAGACATTAAGTGCTCGGTAACCAAGTACAAACCCGGAAGAGTAACAGTAACGCCTTTAATGGATGTGGGTTATTTAATTTGCGCGGGGTTGGATGGGGATGATGTTTGGCGGTGCGGCTCGGCGCGGTTTGTACGCGGAAAGGCGCACCTTCATCCCGCTTCCGTCTGGAGAGCGCAGTTTCATCCCTTCATCTATCCTCGTCCACCCCCTCATTGCCTTCGTTCTTCTCACCACCTGTACGCGTTCCATACACGCAGAGGGAGAAGCGACCCACGAAATCTCCCACCTTCGCTCTATGCGCATCTCCCGAGTACTCGCATCCCACCGTTATTCCCTCCCCTTTCACCACCCATGCCCCGTCATCCAGTCCCTTTCGCTAGCTACCAGCCAGCAACCACCCGCGCTTTTGCTATTGTCTGACTATTGTGCCGCTGTTACCGCGGTGTGTCGGTTCGTTTGTATAAGGGTGATTCATTTTCTGGGAAATATCAGTTCCTGCGCCGCATGAATTTCGACTCACGCGAGCGCGTAAAATCGCTGTACGTGGGGAAGGTTTCCTCTCCTCCTTCTCTCTCTCTCTCTCTCTCTCTCTCTCTCTCTCTTCGTTCTGTTGTCGAGCGCGAATTAAGCCTTCCGTGGACCTTTCTCCAGACAAACATATAAATGTATATATATTCATTTCTCGGAGACGTTATTTCACTTGGGAGCGATGCTTTATTTTGGCGAGCATATTCCTGCGAGAGTAATTCTGCAAATTAAAATTACGTCTTTTAGTACTTCGTTATCATCTCACGAGCTCGTAATTTTCGTGGCTTCTATGAAAGTCGGTCGTCCTCTTCCGCGGTAATTAGAAATTACGGAGTCTAATGAATTCTAATGGACAAATCGCGAACGGATGGCAAAGCCAGGCATCATTCGACGTGAACAAAATACTACATGGGCAAACTTTCTCTCGCTTACGTTTAACGTGTAAGTATAAATAACCGTTGTCACGGCGCTCATAAACCGGTGTCCTTCTAAATTGCGGAACCCCTTGTGCTCGCCTTGTTGCAGTCTGCAGGTAGCGGTAAAACGGCCCGCCTCTCCCATCTCCATTTTCTCTATCCTGCCTGCGTCTCTCGTTTGCACAGGGTCGTTCTCTCACTGGCGGGGGTTGCATTGTTATGAAATTGGGTCGTCCGCTTACTGCAATGAGATACGCGACTCGTCCCGGTGTCGCGCGCCATGAAAATTGGTCGCGTAGTCAGCTCGTCTCGTCTTTCCCGTCGCGAAAGAAGGTCGGACGAGCTGTGGAGAAATGGCGAGAATGGTAATTCTACCGAGGGGTCCGGGGATATTTTTGGTTGAAGCTGTCTCTGAACTCTCTTTTCTCTCCGTCGGTATATGAAATTGACAAATGACAAATAGTCGGAACTGTAATAATTTAAGAGTCTGACGTGTTAAGCAAACATATTTTTCACATCACTCTTGCCGATAGCGACCCAGAATATTTCTTAGTATGTAAAAATGTCTCAAAAGTTGTCTTGAAGCCGAAGAGTGAAGATCGTATCAATATGTTTATATTTCTTTAATAAAATAGAGATAGTGTACAATTGTTATATTCTTATTATAAATTATAATCGTTCGATCAGTTAATTGCAATTATTACAATAGAGTAGACTGAATAGATTGTAATGATCGGATAATGTTCATAAACTATTCACTGTGACCAGAATGTGTTAAGCTTTGTTTGTAATGCTCTGCTGCATATAACGTATTATTATTAAGCGCCATTTATTGTCAAAGAATAAAATTTATTTAATAGATTCAGTTTCTCTTAAAGAGTCGTTATTCAATCGACATATTAATTTGCGGTTATATTTGTGAAAATAATAATATATAATATTTATAAAAAAAAATAATATTTGTGAAATACGTACATTAAAAGAAAAGGTTGGTGCTGTAGCAATTTAGATAGTAAAATAATGGCACAGTATTTTTAATTGGCTGCAGTAGCCAATTTTTTGTTACGTTAGCCTATCCGCAATGTCAATATATGATTTCGATAGGATGATGCAACCAAAAATTGACTGCTGCAGCCAATTAAAAATGTTATGCCATATTCAGTCAATCTTTCCATTTAGTGTATTATCACTGATATAATTGTCTATCCTTTATACTTACGCAGAGTTAATTATGATAAATCATATAATATTAATGTGTATTATATGAAAAAGAGAGGGGAAAGGGGAGAGAGAGAGAGAGAGAGAGAGAGAGAGGGAGCATTAAAGACAGGAAATCTCTCTTTCATTAAAATAGAACAGTACTTTGTAAAAATGAGATTTGCGTAGGCAGCGCTTTGAATTGTATGACTGTGAATTCATGGGAAAAATGTCGTTCAACATAGAAGAATGATTACCAGCCAACTCTAATAGGTACTTTAGTCGTACTTAATTAGAAATCGCGTAATTTATTCGGCAAACGTGCGGAATATGAGGCTGTCTTCTCGTCATCATGCCACCCTTTCATGCGATCTATGCATATATCCTATACTTTTATATGCTAATTTCTTTTGATGGCTCCTTTTGCTTAATTTTGATGGCCGCCTTTGTTAAAGGACCACGCTTTTTCGCATCTAAGAATCGCATTATCCTACAAGAAGTATACTTAGGAAAAATGTTCACATAGTTAGATGTATTCAAACAAATATTTATTAAAATTTATATTTTTCTCTCAGGGTAAAAAAACAATCCAAAATTATATTTATAAAGATCTTTGTCATGCAGGATCTCAGTTTTTAATTATTCTAGTAAGAATAATAAAACTGCTTAGGGGAGGGGTGGCATATTACTATTAATCGGATTTAGTAACATTTACTTATTAACTTATTAACTCATTAAGAACCGCTGGTCAATTTTTCGGCGTTTTATTTAAAAAATTCATTTTTTTGTTATTTACATTTTTTTTATATCGCTTTGGACCAATGGTCGCAAAATCGAAACACCCCCCTTTCC